CCGTACTGCATCCTCTTTCGTCGAGATCGCCCGGTCAATATCTGCGAGATTGCCCAGCCACTTGAATCGAATCGCCAGTGAGTTGCCGAGGCTGTTCAAACATGTCGGCTTGTCAGGATGGTCATGAGGAGTAAGTCGCACTACATCCTCTTTCACCCAAATTGACCTGTGAATATCCGCAATGTCGCCAAGCCGTTGGAAGCGAATAAACAACCAGGTGCCAAGAAGGTATAAACAGGTCAATTTCACTAAGTTGTCGTCTGCAATCGATCCGACGACCTCATCGAAGACCTCAATTGAGGCTGTAATATCGTTGAGGTCACCAAGCAGGTCGAAGCGTCGCCCAAGCGACGCGCCAAGACCAAGCAGAACCCCCACCCGCAGCGGACTCGTCTCTGATACGAGCAGTGCAGCAGCGTCCCAACTTGCTATCGCGGTGTCCAAATCGGTGGGGTCGCCGTGTTGTTGGAATCGATTGGTGAAGGATAGGGCACATCGATACAATGCCGGCAGTACGCTCTGTTCCAACCAAATTTCAATGTACCACGATGAAATTGCATCGTCGAGAGCTGATTGCCGAGATGAAGAGAAGTCTAAGGTAGTGCCAACTTCAGGCCTAAGCAATCATCAGTTAGAATACTCTATTTCCAGAGAAGTACATACGTAGTTGTATTCCCATCGCTTTGCGACGTTTTCCCGAGTATGGTGGAGGTATTGTCATCTTCATCGCTTCGTAGCCTCTTGGCGCTGGGAAGGTTGGATGTGTAACTATCTTCATGATATTGTGCCCTCAGGCTGGGAACCATGCATGGCATGACGCTGGAAAGTTGTATTACAAGAATCAGCCGAAGAAACATAACAAGAGAAATGTTACGCACTCGGTATCTTTCATCATGCACGACGTTGATGGGTCTACTAAATCATCAGATTCGCTTGAAGTACGACGACTTTAGCTATGATCACATCAATTTATTACACATAAACGGCATACCTCATTTCTTCTCCAAATGGCGTACTGAAGTGGACAGGAGTCAGGGTCGAATGTGAATTCCTATATGTGTGTGTCTGACAGCGAGCCACAAGAGCAAGACGTATTCACTCACGCTGCTTCGTTGGCTGCAGTGATGGGCGGGCTCGATACAGGATGTGAGGGATCGATACCCTCTGAAAGCCGCTGTCTACAGCCACGATATTTAGACTGATTTTGAACACTGTAGGACGAGCACTGTCTAGACTCACTTGGGCATGGTCTTGTTAGACATCTCAGTACGAATAAAACCAAGGTTGCACACAGGGGAATCGTGAAAAGATTGACGATGTACGAGCTGTGTTGGGGCCGATTTATGAGATCTACGCACGGGCGCCATTGTATAGCAGCATGCGTGACTGGCAGCCTCTGCAAAGACCTCATTGCTGGAAGTCTGTCAATGGAGCCCAATGCTGTGTGTGATTATCGGCCGCCAACCCTCAACTTACCACATCCAATACGCGCGATCATCGATTCAGCGCCCATGAATGCTGAACCCAGATGCGAGGATACCTACCATTTGCTCGTCCGTACCTATCCACACCCTATCTTGTCCCCGTGAATAGCGCCCGAAAAGTGTCCTTTGAGGTGTGGGGAGGGCGGCCTCTGCACGCCATACCAAGGCGTCGCTCAAAGCCATCTTTGAGGTGGCTTCTGTCATGTGCGAAAGTGGTTCAAACGCACGAACATATTGTGTTAAGTGTCTCTAGTCGCCGACACACCTGTGCTCGCATTGTGGGAAGCAGTAGGGCTTATCGACTCGGGACAAATAACCATAGTCGGCGGTGCACTAGTGCGGATTTTGTGGTATCCGGATGTATTCCATTGTCCTTGTATTCACGTTGACAATATCAATTAATTCACTGCCTCGGGAAGCGGAATTACTCGCACCGCCAGAGCACCACCCTTGAGGAAGGTTTTGGGCCTAACACCGCATTTGCCCCGCTCATAAGTAGCAATGGAAATCGACGAAAACAGGAAGAGTTGCGTACATAGCCTCCTTATCACTCTAGATATGATGTCGACTCACGCTTGTTTGGAATAGTCCGACGGTGCTGGCAGAATGGAATGATAAGAATGCGAAGACAGCTGAACGGGGTCGGAACGCATTGATGTCTGGAAATCAGTGCGGCGTACGCACCATTGAGGTATCTGACAGCGCCGTACGAGACGACCTCGCAATCTCAGGGAGGAGGGGCGATGCTTCCAAACGCCTCGTGGGCACTAGCAGGGCCTTCCTGAAAGGACGCTTCCCTAGCAAACAGCCGCGGCGCTCAGTTGGCGCTCACCGCTGAACTGCGTCCGAGATGAGTACAAGCTTCTAGTTCTTGACCGGCGCGCGTACCTCGCCGGTGGTGTGATGCATACTGTATGTCCTGCGCTTTCATCTCGTGGCCTGCGTCCTCTCTCGTGCCTTTGTTGCTCTCCCGTTGCGATATGCTTGGAGCTGCGGATGGCGCCATTGGTGGGTACGATGGGTGCACTTACCATCCGAGCACTGGCGGAGTGGACGATGGACTGCGTGGAGGGCCGAAGATGAGGTGCAAGGACCATTGGACTACCTGAGTGGGAGGCTTACTGTGCTATACGATACGTTTCTCGCCATCGTCACCCGCGCGGTGAAATTCATCCCTCTCTACCGTGTCGCACCTGTCCTAGGGGCGAGTAATCCACGGCTATTCCGGAAACCTGATCGAGCCTGGATATGTTCGACGCGCCATTCGTCCTGCGCCGGCACCACAACCACAACCTGAGATTGCAATCAAGACCTTTAGGTGAATTAATGAAGCCTCAGGGCTCCATCGAAGATGTACAAAGCCTACGTATCCATTAGAGATTAAATTGGTGATTCTTACGATACTTTTCTGAGCAGGTATCATGATGGGGAGTCTGGGATTAGCCCAATACCAGAGTTGTACAAATACACATTTCCAAAGGCGCATAGGATACATAAAGATACAGTCCGCCGTAGTCACGCTCCATATTCAGATAGATCAAGCAACTCAGAGGTTGTACCTGCAGTCAAACGCCGTATCAGCACAACTTCGAAACACCAAACAACAGTTTGACTATGAACTCACGCATCGCTCCTCCACTCCTCCCCATGTCTCGCAGCATCCATTTGCACACCCGCGCGTTTCACCCATCCCTGCGGATGTCCCCGCTCCGGTAGCAGCTCTGCACCAGGGCTCGTCACAACCTTGAAATGCTGCGGCTTCTCCTCGCCCTTCTCCTGTGCCTCTTCCTTCTTGTGCGCGAACTGGTCGCGAAGCACTTGCCTTCTGCTAGTGTCCTCGCTCGCCTTTGCCTCCGACATCTGGTCGCGCACTGCCACCAGCTTCCCGTCAAGGTACTCCAGCGCAGTGCGTACCGCGCCCCCTAGCGCCTTCTGCAGCTGACGCTTCACAAGCCCCGTCGCGAGCGGTGCGATCGTCTTGTACAGCGCGTCGTGCTTCGAATCTCGGACGGCGAACTTGAGCGAGTCCACCTTGACAGCCACATTCTTCACCTGGAAGACGGACGCCGGGTCGTGAGCTGTCGCGAGGTGCGCTGTAACCGTCATGCCTGAGCCGCCGAGCAGCACATCCGCCATACCCGAGTCAGACATCTTCGGCATGCCAGTCTTCTTGTGATAGAAGAACGCGACGTCGCGGAGATCAGCTTGAATTTGTCCGAGGACAAGCGTGATTTCATGGTGAGACTCATCCCTGAGTGCTGGTTGAGTATAAGGGGTGTGAAATAGCAGAAAAGAACACACCGGATCGTATCGTACGGACTAAACCTCATATGATTGCGCACGTCCACGCTGACGACGTTCGGGAACACATTACGCCCTGACAGCGCCAAATTCTCCAAGACCAGGTCGAACGCCTCATCCGTATACTCGATGCGCGGGATCGGGATGTATCCAATGTGGCTGATCAAACTCGGAACAATAACCCTCCGGACGTCCGTCCACAACTCCGGCTTGTACTTCAGGCTTCCTTCGCTATCAAATAACAGATCCTTCGTGAGGCGTGACCAGTCCTGACCAAAGCGGCGGTTGATCGGATCATTGCCCCACGCAGCGATCCATTCAGCAAACGAGTTCCAAACGTTGTCAAAGTGGCTCTTGTACTTGTCGTCGTAGTAGCGGCGGCCAGACTCGCGCAGCTCGTTCGCACGCTGATTGCATTGATCGTCCAGCACATAACCAGCCTCCATGAGACACTAACGTACTATAATTCAGCTTCACGAACAATGTCCCGCCTCATATTGGGATTTACCTGGCGTACGAACTCGTTGACCTCGCGAAGCCAGTGGCGAAGGCCTTCATCACGACGAGAGTCGTCGTAGAGCTGGCGGATTGCATTGACGATGATGTCCATGCTTACGCCGTTTGCGAAACGCTCCAGAAGTGTACGGAGCTCGCGCATGGCCAACTGGAGGTTGTCATCCGAACCCAGTTGCTGGTGGGATTGCTTGCCTTGCGAATTTGTGAGAGCGGATCAGACATGAATTCAGGATCAAGACATACCTTTCCCTGCAGCTGTCCGACCCTGAGTGATATACTCATCGGCAGTGTCCAAAAGCCAGCGAATACTCTCTTGGTAATCCTTGTGATTCTGACACTCGATAATGACTTTCTTCAGGCGGAATATAAGCTGATCACGGCGCTCTTGCGGGAAATATTCGTCGCTGAGGAAATTCTTCACCCGAGTGGCGTGCTCTTGGGTCTTGTCTCTGTGCTCCTGTGGGATGCGCCCAGTGATTTGGTCCTGATAGAGATCACACGTCAAAACCTTGCAATGCACGAGATCGGTTACCACGTACCCGCATACCGGCCATCTTATTCTGCAGCCGACTTTTCTTTGTGCCCGTATCAGCTCCTTCGTCTCCTTGGATGTTCTCCTGGACGTCATCCCTCTGGGCCTGAACCTCATCCTGTGCGCGATCCGTAAACTCGTCCTTGCGGCGTTGAGCATCGTCCGCAATATCACCCCCACGGCGCACGTCACCACCCTCAGTTCTGACAGTAGCACCTTGTCCGAACTCTTCTCGAGGGTCCTGCGCAATACGATGACTAGTGCCAGGAATTCGCGCTTCAGGAATCTGCAGAAGAGGGTTATGGATAAATCTCGGGACTCGTAGTATGCACACTCACTGGCGTCTCATCAGGACCAACCTCCTTTCCTCCTTGAGAGATGAATTTATGGTCTGGGCCAGGCTCGTCAACTCGGCGAAGGCGCTCCTCATCAGGACGCGCCATCTCAGCAGCTTTACTTGCGCCGCGAGCGAGCAAGTCGCGGCCGATAACGCCAAAATCGCCGACGAGCTTGCGCACCTCAGCGTTCGTAAGGACGAGACTGGAGAGCGTGCGGAGATGCTGAGCCGCCTGATTTGCGTCTTCTCGGCCCTTTCCCTGACGCACGGGGACAGCATCTTTTGGGTCTTTCTTCGCGCGATTTGTATCTGTGCTGCGTGTATGCCAGACGAAATTCTGGAGGAGCTCGCCGGCGTTCTTCTCTTGAAACATCACACGAAGGGTGTTGAGGATCTCGCGCAGATCCCGAATGAGAACCTGGCCAGACTCGGACAGTCGGTCTGTGGGGACGGGGGAGTGGTCGAGGGCGTATTCGAGGCCTCCGTCGATCTGGGTGTTGGTGGGGAGGCGCGACTCGCGTACGGCAGTCGCGATGCCGTACATGCGAAGCTTGCGGTCAACATCAGCGTTCTTCTTGTCGCGGTTGACGGGATCCGCGACAGAGCCGGCCGCGGGGTGGTCGCTTATGTCTTTCTTTGCTTGTGGAAGAGACATAGCCAAAAATATTTGAGATTTCGACAAGGGATGGGTGCAGGTCGTAAAAGCAGGTCGTGAGACGTGAAGGAGAAAGAAGGGGAATATGTGGAGAAAGAGCTGACCTTTGTATGATATATAGGATAGGGAGTGCATCGTCATAGGCCAGGAGGCTTGGATACGAGCGGACAGGGAGCGCTCCACTGCGCTTGATTGAGGTGGCCGGAAGCGAGTGCGTCACTGGCAGGGGCGAAGGCGGAACATGGCAGAGCCAAGAGGGACGAGGCAGTCAAGCGGGGCCGCAGCCAGCACTGGGCATTGGCCGTGGCACCACAGGTGATGTCACCCACACGTATCTCGGCCGCGGCCACCCGCAGCACTCCACCCGCCGCCGCATCTCGGGTTGCCGAGTCGCCCAGCGAACGTCGAGCAGCGCACAATGATCCTCACAAGTACAGCCTAGAATTCCACTTAGGGCTCTCAGACCATGTTCTGAAAGTCCGAGAAAGGGCAGTGGAAATTGGCCACGCCCGGATATCGCAAGAACCGTGACGAGACTGCCCTGGACGTCGTGCATAGGGGTGCACCACCAGGCGGGATTTCCCATTCGAGCTGTGCGTCGGGGCTACTGATCACGTGACGTGCAAAACCTTAGCGACAATGCTATTTACTTCGCTCTCTCTGCTCGAGTCCCGATCGCTTGGTCAAATGAGAATGAGTTCCTGAACAGCGCACAGCTTGCCGAGCCCACTCACGTTCAACTGCGGCATTGAAAGACACGGAAGAACGGCCAACTGTGCCCATCGCTTTTTCACTGCTCACAGATCAGGCGTGATACTCCTCTGACTTACAACCTCTGTGGTCTCGTACCCAGACGTGTCTTCGACACGTCTGGGGTAGCCTAGCAGA